TTGCATCACAGCGCTTATACCCGCAAGGACGAAAACACGGCGAAAAACTTTTCTGTAATTTCTGTTTTTCGCCTTATTTTTGTCTCTACAGGGACCAGTAGATGTCCTGAGAACCGGTTTTGTGAAACAGGTAGATATGTGGTTGTCATGTCGATGGATAAAGCATATAAGTGTAGTAAGGAATGGGACATTGCAAGATTTGTTTTGTAGCGGAGATTAGAACATAAGATATTTAGCGTTTATTATTGCTTGTTTAATGCTTCCGCGACGCCGATCCGCGCACTTTGCAATGTCTGCATCACACTGTTTGCCACAGAATTATGAATTTGGTCCATGGCAATTGCACTAATTTGATGTCGCAACCAGCATTGTTTGTAGGATTGGGAAACTTCCGAAGACAATAATTGCAATCGTTTGTATGTAAACTGTGCTTTAAAGAGGAGCTATTTGCAGAAGGGAATGTATATGTATTTGCTAATGATGATAACAGTTTAGAATATGAGTAATTTTTTTGGAATAGGCCTATGTCTGCCTAACTAATTGTGATGGTTTCAGTATCAATGGATTGCTCTCACTGTCTATTTCCCAAATATAGAAATTATTGCGCAGAACCCCCCAACCCCCACATTCTTGGCCCAGGTAGCAAGGGAGGACAGGAAAGGTACCAGTTAAATTGCGGGGTAAATTGTAAATGGTATCTACAGAATCAGTCACTATATAGACCGATTTGGTAAAGTGTTGCAACCGTGCCAGGCAACGAGTACTTTTTGAAAAGAAACCCTCATTTGTTAAAAAAATCACTATGCATGCTTATGGATTTGCTGTGTTTATCCAAAAATTTAAAGTTCTTTTGCTTGAAATGCCTAGGATTTGTGTAGGTGTTGGTTGTTCGAACCACACTGATGGAAAAGTAAAATCAAACCTTTGACATATACCCAATTCATGAGAAGAAGCCGGAAAAATGGAAGCGATGGGTTCAAGCCCATAAACACTATTGAGAGTGCTTCGGCCTGGTGGAAACCAAAATGTTTACATAAGCAGAAAAGGTGCAATAAATAAATATTTAGATCAATGAAACTCTTATCTTCAATAAAATGTTCTGAGCATATGTAGACATACTTTACCACCAAACGCCCAAGCTGTCCCATCAGTGTTTATGCGTTTTGTGGCTTCCATGTTTCAGGTTTCTTCTCACAACATGGGAATATGTGAAAGGTTAGACCTTTCTTTCCAATCATATTGTGGTATGAATAAGTATTGGAATTGGTAATTCAACGTTTGGCCACTTTGCCGAATCATTGATCCAAATTTCGGCAGGTAGACAATATGAACACTTTTAGGTGCATAGCTTATAGTTTCACTTCATAACACTTTTTCTCTCTGCTTTTTATATCAAAGTATTTATACAACATTTTCGCTTATGATGATTATGCAACTTTTCATTATTCTGTGAGATGATTCTGTGAGAGACGGGTTTGTTTTCACCAAGTGTCATGGTAATCCCGCCTTGTGATATGCCGAAACGGTCTATTGTTTAATGCAAGGGGCTGTTCCCCCTGCAGCCCTTCCATTAGAGGGCTGCTGCCCCCATCCCCCACCCACGAAAAAAAGAATCCCCCACGTATTCATGGTAGAAGAGAGAGTTGTACAGGCTTGGCAACAAAGCTCCTGCATGGTGGTTATACACTTCCACCTACTGTAAATATGTGGAGGATTCTTTGTTTTCTTGGTCAGGGGTTGGGAGGCAGTACTCCCCCATGGGGGTTCGTAGGGGGCACAAATCCCTGCATTAGACAATATGGGGTAATTTACATTTTACTCCACAATTTTCTTTGTACCTTTCATGCCCTCCCCTGCAATCGGTGCCAAGAATGTGGGGGTTAGGGGGTCTTCCAGGCATTAAAACTTACATATGCACTGTAGACAGTGAGAGGAATCCACTGATACTGAAATCATTGCTATCTGTTAGGCGTACGTAATAAAATAAATTATTAAAATATGATTATACAAACACACAAGGATAATTTGCTGAATACCTTTGCATAACCGATTGTAACAATTTTATATTCTTATATCATTCTTATATCAAAATTATGCTGCGGTTACCCCCCCTTTAGCAATGATTGTGGCCCCCGATAACAGGGATGGGCATGATTGGCACCAGGGAAATTATGAGGTAAAATATGAATAACGTACTCATTGTGGGGTTTAGGGGCTGCCCAAAGGCTCCTACATATATTTATGGCAAGTAGAGTGTGTTACCAACATGTGGGAGTGCTTGATTCCATGGCATAATTCCTACATATATATATGTGCTACTGGGTGAGAGGAATCCAGCAGTGCCAAAATTGTTGCAATCAGTTATGCAAAGATATTATGAAACATTATGGACATTATTAGTTCTGCACATGATAATGCGTTGAAGACTAGCACAAAACTTGACAAAAAATTTTAGTGGATGACAGTCAGTATTTCAGTAAAAAAAAGAGTATGGAGTAGTCACCTTGACAAAAAATAAGACACTTTTTATCAATAGCAAACAGTGGGCAAATTGAAAATATAGGAGATACATAACAGAAGAGAAAAGATACTTATCTTTTTCAAAGTTCCTCACCATGATTACATTATGACGATAAACAGTACTATGACTGCAAAACACATTACTGTGAACTATTAAATAGTTCATGTAATACTTTGCACTTATGAAGACATTTATTTTGTAATTATCAATGCTTGCTTTCCCAATTCATGTAGTCTTTTATTTTTATTATACTTTTTTAACGCTTTCACTGATATGCTTTGAAATCATATTCATCCCCTGTGTGATATGCATTTTCTGTATTTTCTTAATATCAATTTTAGTAGTTTTGACCATTTCTTCTTGTAGCATATGTGCTTACAATTACTTGACTATAAGGCAATAAATGAATTTTACAGTATTCTTTATTAAAAAAATACATTTATCCTCAAAGTTATTTCTATGCCTGGCAGCGTTGTCTCACTTAGTTCCGGCACCAATAATGTCACTGACAAACAAGAGCAGGTAACACCTGACAATCATCTAACAGCTTCTGTTGTTACATCAGATATTGTAATTTACTAAAATTAAATATAGTAAATATATAAATGGGAATATAGGTATATAGCAAAATAAAATTACAACAATTACAATTTAGTTTCATCTCTGAATGAACATGTATATATGTATGTATATATATATATATATATATATATATATATATATATATATATATATATATATATATATATATATATATATATATATATATATATATATATAATATATATATATAATATATATATATATATATATATATATATATATATATATATATAATATATATATATATACATATACAACATATATGTATATATAATTTATTAATATATAAATATATAAATATATAAATATATATGTATATGTATATGTATATGTATATGTATATATATATATATATATATATTATATATATATATATATATAATAATATATATATTATATGTATATCATCATCATCATCATCCACCCTTTGCTTCCTCCTTTTGGGATCCCTCATGGCAAGCTGTCAGGCAGGGAGTCGGCCCATATCGAGCTCCTCATGACAGGTTTGATCGATCTGCCTAAGCCACGACCTCCTATGTCGTCCCACAGGCCTCTTCCACCCAGGTCTGTCTTGTACAGAGACAACCTGGTGGGCAGGATCATCCTGGGGCTAGCGAGCCAGGTGGCTGTATAGCCTGACTTGGCGATCCTGGATTGTGCAGGTAACAGGTCCTGTGCCAGTCTCACTGCGCAGCTGTTGGTTGGACACGTAGTCCTGTCAACTTTAGCCCATGATCCGGTGCAAGGACCTATTACAGAAGGCATCAAGATGAGACTCCATGGCACAGGATAATGTCCAGGTTTCACTACCATTTAGCAAAACTAGCATTATCAGGGCCTTGAAAACCCATAGCTTGGTCCTTCTGCACAGGTACCAGCATCTCCAGATACTATTGTCGAGAGAGTTCATGACCCCTGCTGCCAGGCCAATCTGTCTGTTGACTTCATGGTGTGACAGCCCAGAGTTATGAACTACACTACCAAGGTATGTAAAGCTCTCTGTGACTTCAATGTCCTCGCCGTAAGCACGTACCGACTGAACAGGTTCTCCTAGCAAGTCTCCAAAGTCTTGGATCTTGGTCTTGGTCCAGGAGACCACTAAACCCAAGGGCTTCGCTTTATTACTAAATGCATTGAGGACCACCACTAAGGATTCCAAGGAATTGGATAGAATGGCAATATCATCAGCAAAGTCAAGGTCAGTAACCTTGATATTGCCCAGAGTTGCTCCACATTGACTTTGAACAGTAGCTCTGCCCAGTATCCAGTCCATGCAAGTGTTGAAGTGTTGGTGCAAGGACACAGCCTTGCCTCACTCCTGAACTAACAGGAAAGAAGCTTAATAGGCCCCCACCACACTTTACAGCACTTTCAGTACTCGTATACAGACTTGCTATTAGTCCAATAATCTGTGTTGGAGTTCCTCTCTGTCTCAGGATCTCCCAGAGGGATTCCCGATGCACCATATCGAAAGCCTTCTTGAGATTGATGTAGGCTCTCTACAATGACTTGAAGCGCAAGGATACAGTCAATTGTGGACTTACCAGGAGTGAATCCAGATTGCTTCGGCCTCTGATGCCTCAGTAGGTGGTCTCTGATACGTCTCAGAAGAATGTGGGTAAGAACCTTGCCTGGTATACTGAGCAATGTGATGCCTCGGTGATTGCTGCAGTCCCATCGGTCCCCCTTCCCCTTCCAGAGGGGGATGACCACACTCCTCAACATTGCTTTGATTTTAATCCTTTTTGCTGCATTTGGGGCATTTGATGGGCTCAGGTATTAAACTGGGGTGGTTACTGAAGTCTATTTTTTCTCCATTGCCAATGTATAGTCTTAAGAATAATCTAGACTCAATGCTACATTTCTCGCCAGCCACCAGTTGAGTGGCCAGCGTTGAACTGTTGAACCGTCAAACCTCGTGGCTGGTGAATAATAGCCTGAAACGCATGATGCACATATCATTCTAAATAAGTGTATAAATAAATTTTAAAATGTGTAAAGGAAAT